TAACGGACCGCAGTGGTTATGCAAGGATGAAGAATTTTGGAATGCTGAACCCTACGATCCAGTCGACGATGAAAACCTTTTGGAAGTGCGGAAACTCAAGGTACTGCATACCAATCCGAAAGCTACTCGAGACAACTACGACGTCGACGTCGATTGATTGAACGGCGATCAAGCTTCAATTTGGTTGTTCGAGCACTTGCGTATGTAAATAGATTTGTGCAAGCTACCAAGGGAATGGAATGTGAACCTACGCTGACACCCGGCGAACTGTATGCGGCAAGGGCGCAGATAGCTAGAACTGCACAATTCGATGTGTACAAGCAGGAAATGGAATTACTCGCAAAGGAAAAGGAGTTGCCGGCCAAGAACAGATTGTCAGCACTACACCCTTTCCTGGACAATACTGGAACGATGCGCGTGGGAGGCCGTCTTCAGAATTCTCCCTACTCATTCGATGTGAAACATCCGATCATTCTCCCACGTGACCATCGAGTAACGGAACTTCTTCTGAGAGAACTTCATCTGCAAAATCTCCATGCGGGGCCCACTCTGCTTACAGCTACAGTAAATCAGCAGTACTGGGTGATCGGACTACAGGCAGCAGTACGACGAACAGTTCAAAACTGTATTCGATGCTTAAGAATGAAGGGACACACGGCCAATCAGTTCATGGGCAGCTTGCCTGTGCCTCGTGTAATGGCAACCCGCGCATTTACCCACGTTGGCGTTGACTACGCCGGCCCATTCAAGATTCATGCGCTGTGCGTTAGAGGAGTCAAAGTCACAAAAGGTTATTTGGCGGTTTTTGTGTGCATGTCGACTAAGGCTGTACACTTGGAGGTTGCCAGTGATCTCTCAAGCAATGTGTTCATCGCCGCGCGATGCAACCGCGTACTAAATGGCGAGTTACGGAAACGAATGTTAAAGAGGATCAACTGGTGTTGGTGAAAAATGAGAACGCTCCGCCGGCTCAATGGGAGTTGGCACGCATCGTTAAGCTTCATCCAGATGCAGCTGGAATCGTCCGGACTGTTACCTTGCGGCGTGGTCAAGCTGAGTCTGTATCTTGACATCGGATTGAGGCACGTGGCCTCCAGGCGGGGGAGGATGTTCCGGTGCGAGAGCCCCCAATTCTAATCATACACCACATCCGCATCTACCTTGCACCCATCTGTCAGTGCAGAAGCGACTGCAGAATCCAACTCCTCCTTGCGTATTAGAGCATCTCCACCGATTTATCTAAATTAGTTTTAGAAACTGAGTCAGCATGACTTCCGGCTGTGACTAATGTGCTGAAGAATCCGTCTCCTGTATGGCGTTTTGCGACAGGATGATTCACCTGAAGTGTGGCAGCACAAAGTTGAACAAGGCTTTTCTGAACATCCCTAATAAAAATTGTATGGTTAATTTGCTTAACGACGTGTTCTGGGTATCATCCAAACCATTTGTGGAATAGTTCAATGATTTGGGTTATCGTTCGTTTATGGTTATTTTTTATTAGGGATTGTCCGCACTAGCCCGAACTTGTTTTGGATGTGCAACGAGTGTGCCAAGTTGATGAAATGTGCTCGGCTCAAAACTGCTGTTTCGTCGTTTGGTAGTGTGATTAATTCTATCACCGGAAGACAAGAAATCGCACACGCTTAGCTTAGGAAGGAAATAGCTAAGCAAGGACAGCAGATCGCTCAGCTGTCGAAACGAATTGCATTGACAACTCCAACACACTTGGGTTCCGGCGATCTTATGCGTCAACCACTATTAAAACGGCGCCGCAATGTAGGCTCTTACCTTACCAATCAGGCTAAGGCCTTGTTGTCCTCTACTGTCCGAAGAAGTCGTCTCCACTCTACTCGATCCATGGCCACACATCGCCAGCCTCGTAGTCTACTTGGTCGATCCATCTTGCCCGCTGCGCGCCTCTTCTTCTTGTTCCTGTTAGGTCGCTTTCTAGAACCATTTTTACTGGGTCGTCGTGCGGCATTCTTACGACGTGCCCAGCCCACCGTAGTCGCCCAATTTTTGCAATGTGTGTGGTTCTCCCAGCAGCTGGTGCAATTCGTGGTTCATTCGCCTCCTCTACGTTCCATCATCCATCTGCACTCCACCGTAGATGGTACGCAACACCTTCCGTTCGAAAACACGAAGGGCACGTTGGTCCTCCACGAGCATAGTCCAGGTCTCGTGGCCGTAGAGGACCACCGGTCTAATCAGCGTCTTGTAGACAGCACGATTCCCAGCCATAATGCGTCTTTGAATTTCTCTGTTGGTATCATTTTCGGCGGTCACCAGTGAGCCCAAATACACGAACTCATCTGCCACCTCGATTTCGTCACCGTCAATTCGAACTCGGGATGGGAAGCTAACATTGTCTTCCCTAGAACCTATTCCTTTAATGTATTTTGTCTTTGATGCGTTGATGGCAAGTCCAATCCGCCTAGCTTCAGCCTTCACTCTGATGTACGTTTCCGCCTCAAAGTTCCATGCCATGATGTCAATGTCATCGGCGAAGCCAAGAAGATGGATGGACTTCTGACTCGATCCATCGTCGCCTTGACCAATCGCGTCAGTTTATCCGGAAATCCGTACTCGTGCATAATCTACCATAGCTGATCTAGATCGATTGTGTCGTATGCGGATTTGAAATCAATGAACAAATGATGTGTGGGCACGTTTTATTCGCGGCATTTGTGCAGAACCTGCCGAATCGCGAAAATTTGGTCCGTGGTAGCACGGGCACCCATGAATCCCGCCTGGTAGGCAATGTAGGCTCACTCATCTGTAAACCACTTGTTGGTGGTACTAAAGCAGTAACGGATGGCCGAAAGGAATTTTGTTTCGTGAATTTGAAGACGGTGGATGCCGTCTACCATCATGATCATGATCATGACCTTCCGAGTTCTCAACTCCCATCTCCGGACTACACCCAGTATGCTGCTGCCGATCGTATTATATGAGACCTCGAATTGCTCGATCCAGTCGCGCCAGCTGTTTCCCGTTCTGGTTCTGTGGTCTGGTTCGGTGGTCGGATCTCCCTACCATCGTCTTCAGGCAAGTATGCATACATTAGTTACAATAATTTGCCTGATCAGCTTCCGTGTTCCAGTAGTGCAACGCCTCAAACATTTGCCGGCTGTTTCCAGTGGAGGGGCACTTCTGATACTGCTCATTTACAACATCCGCTTTACTGTTCGAACAATCCTAATTCATCTCCGGGACGCACAATAGACCACTGTTTGGAAGCTCCTGGTTCCTACAGCCCAGTCGTGCCAAATTCTGCCAGCGCTTAGAATAGTTGTTCTGGAACTGTGACTGGATATGGATCAGGAGTCTTCCACCTTGCTTCTACAGGCAAGTACAATCAATATATTGACTATTCACTGCCTGATGTCGATCAAATTTTCAGTAATTAGTCATTGTGATAATGCCTCTGTAACTCCTAATCCTGGGAACTCAGAACGCGCCGTAGAAAGCTCCATGGAAGCCCCGCAATCCCACCGTCTCAGTCATGCCTTCAACAGCCTTCGATCGTCATGCTGTTGGATGTGAAGAGGGGGTCTTCCAACCCACTCACTATGGCGAGTATTCAATTAGACTCGATGATGGTCAGTTGTTGCCTGATGTATCTGTGATTTCCAGGGAGAACACAGTCGTTCGATTCTTTGCCGTAAGCAGGACGTCTTGATCTTATACCAAAATGCCAGTGGAATGAATTCTGATGTTGAAGCTGTATCGGATCGTTGCTACGATGTAATTGTCCCGTGCGAAACTTGGTTCGATTTTCGAACGCTTTCCAGTCACATCTTCGGTCCTGACTACGAGGTCTTTTGTAGCAATCGGAATCCTAAAAACAGCCGTAAATATACTGGTGGAGGTGTCCGTGTAGCTGTCCGTGGCGGGTTGGAGGCAAAGGACATCGAGAACGGCCATCGACACTATTTCTAAGCGCTCTGTACCTTCCGCCTGATCGAGTCATAAACTTATCGATACTCACTGTCGGTCAGTTTTCACAGTTATCGAAAGTGCCACTCCAGTTGATGAGATATTCATTTTGCGTGACTTCAATCTGCCTGGCGTTTCGTGGAGTTCATCTCATAGCAGATTCATGTATCCAGATCTACATTTCACGCAGGAGCTTAGTCTTCTCGACAACTACAGCGCAGCAACGCTTTATCAAATTAACCATGTAGCTAACGAAAACAATCGTAATTTGGACCTCTGCTTCGTGAGCACTCAGGACATGACTATTATATTATTAGGACGATTATCATGCTACGGTTTCTTGAGGTTGATATTAGAATATTGCAGCATAGTCTGGTTTTCGTTTTCAATCACACACCAAGAAAGAATAGGGTCCGTTCAAAAGCAGTTTCTACTGTATGCACTCCGCAAGTTAGGTTGGATTATATTTCCTCTGCCATCTTACACAGCTCGATGTATGCTCATAAGTATCCAAACATCAAAAGAGTGTCGTGAATTTGCTATGATTTACTTCGTACCTAAACGATATCGTAAATAATTAAATTTATATACACCATCTAGGCATCTACGAAATAGTAGCATATTTGCTACAAACCGCTATCGTACGAATTATGCCAAATTTGAACCCTTGAACCAAATGATGGACACATACAATAACCCTTTGGTTATAATGATGGACACATACAATGGACCCTTCGAAAATAAATTAAAATGTTCAAAAATTCTTTTCTTCTTGACCGACCGATTTTCAAGTACATTGTCAAATTTATCTAAATTGATTCCTTGTATGTGAGAAATAATTTTCCTACAATAGCTGGGTTATTTGAAAATTTTCCATCTGTCAAATTTAAATGAAAGTTCACCAAATGGAACTCACCCTAAACTAGCAATTTGTTAGTGTATCGAACATATTGTTGGAAAAATATTCAGGTTTATTTGTGAAAAACTATCAACGTCGCCACAATCCAAGGTAATTAAAAATATTTACCAAATAAGATAAAATTATCCAACTTCACACTTACCGCTTTGCTGCTGTTCCGCTACAGCTTGTCTAAGCTTCAATGCTTCCAAACTGGGCAGTAAACTTTCTTCACTGTCTGTCACCGCATCCTCTTGTACCTCCTCCGGGCATCCCGTCCGGTGGGGGTTCAGAAATACCGGTTCCACAATCAACTTCTTATCTTGAACTTTGTTAATATCCAGAGCCACTTTCAGCGGAGGAGACTCTTCACGCTTGGTTGGCTTTCGACTCGGCTTCGGTTCTTCCGACCTTCGCCGGTCGTCTGTCCTGTCCACCTTTTCCGGTTCTTCGGATTGCTTCTGTTTCTTCGCACTTTGCGCTCTAGATTTTGCGAGATTAGCATACTTATACTTGGGAAGATTGTCAAGCTTAAAAACATTGGGATCAACTTTAAACCTAGCTTTCAACCCTTCGCCCCGCTTGAGGAAGGGTTTCGTCGGGACTTTCTTTCCCTCCGCCGCTTCTTCCCACGGCGACGATCGTTTTCTGTACATCTTTCGCTCTTCGTCCTCGTCGTCACTGTCCTTCAATTCGATAACTTTTTTCCTCTGTTCCGCGACCAACTGTCTTTGCATATTTGTCTCCTCGTACTCTGGATCGTCACTATCGGATTCCTCGTGAAACACTATCGGGGCCGTTCCGGAACTACTGTGATCCAGCCCCAGAATGGCGTACATTTTCTGCTGCTCCTGGCTGAGCAATTCCCGCTGGGCGATTTGTTTCTGCATCAGAACGCGCTGCTGCTCCTCCTGCCATTGTTTCAACTGTTCCAACCGGGCAAGAATACTTCGCGGAGAATCGGACTCGGACATGGCACATTAATGAATGGATTTTTATTCACGGAAAAACGAGCAAAAACAACATTTTTTTCTATTATTTGCGCAGCAAACGCACAAAACCGTTGTTTATTTACTTGACTGACAGGTTGTGGTTGCCGGTTGACGCGGAGCGCGCCTTGCGAAGACTTTTTGAAATCGTGTTCGGCACAGTCGGCGTCGGTACAATTCAGAGCCCGTTAAAAGCAAGAGAGAGGCAAGCATTTTGCGAGCCGAAAGAGAGTGCGAAAACAAAATTGCATCCAAAACAGAACTTTTGACATGTGTACGATGAAAAAGGCGAGAAAATTACAAATCAGCCATCCTGCAAAGCATCAAAATATTTACAAGTAGTGATATTTTTGTGTGAAATTATTGCTTGTTTTACGATTTTTCTTCAATATTTCTACGCTTAGCGAAAGTTTCAAACAGGAAAAGTTTGTGAAAGTTGTTCGATAGTTTCGCTTCCAGAGGGTTCCAGAGAATTCCGGGAGGAACATTTTCTTTTTTGTTTTGCCCCTCCTTCGTCCTTATTTTCGAGAATGTCTTCTTCGCCATTCCATCATTTCGGGTTCAACCACGGAACGAGAAAGATCACGCCGTTGAAAATCCGGTAGTACATCAGTGTCCCAGTTTCGAAAACATTTCCTCATTCCCCCTCTTGCAGCAATCCGAGCATCAGTCCGTCGCAAATCATGCCATCGCCTAGCGGGGTTCCGTTCAACGTAGCCGACATGCCCTGGTCCTACGGTGGGAAACCCGGCCAGCTCATGGAATTCAATGCCGTTATTCGGCCAAGTCCGATACAACACGGAGCGTACCATCCGGTAGGTTCCGCCTCCACCATATACTCCGATATCAGAAAAAGGAAAACCGAACCGGACGTAGTTCCAATGTAAGTATCCGAAGATGCAACAAATTCGGATTTCTCAATCGTCCCTCTCTTTCCGCAGACCATCGAAACAATTTTTCACCGAAGAATCCATGGCTATCCACTTTAACAATCTGCATTTATCGTCCGAGTACACACCGCACAACATAGAAACCAGTGCTTCTGCTGGGGACACGGTAGGATCCCTCTCGCCGTTGTCCTCCTCGCTGGACGATGACATGTCGTTCGGCGAATGTAGCCCTTCCACCTCCACGGCGGCTGGAGGTACCGGCCACCACGTGTACATGTCTCCTCGGGAGCTCGAGGAACGACTCAAGAAGGCTCAGCGAATTGCGCTCTGCGAGGAAGTACGCAAACTAGACAATCGAGCAGAAATCCTGCCCCAGGCGCTTCTGCAAAGAATCGAGAAGCCCTGCACGGCACTGGTTCTCTGGCAACCGCCACAGGTGCTAGAAAAAATTCTGACCAAGGTAAGTACGGCAATGAAGGAGAGAGAAGAGCACGACAAGCAGGAATCCGACCGGAGTTCCAATGAAGCTGCGATGGGGGAAGATGAACCACTCCCAGACCTGCCAGACTATGATGATGATCTCGATTTCGAAGAGAATAATAATAACGTGGCCACGGTGAGCGATTTGAACAGTATGGACGTTGAGATGTAGTGTGTCATCCAAGGACGACTGTTGAATCGTGGTCTTGATCTACTAAAATCGATACATGTCGTGTACAATGAATGTTCTTTTTTCATACTTAGGTGTAAGGCGTATGATCCTAATCCGATAGGTTCGCTAGCTTGCGGTCGACAAGTTTGTTGATATACTTTTTTTTTGGGTGCAAATTACGAAATATAGACGAAATTTTCAATCTCGAATCGGTTGGGTTGTCTGATCCGAAAGCCATCAGAATTGCCCACATTTTAGTGCCGGAATCGTATAGGCAAAAGAATTGTAGACGCAACGTAAACAATGGCTTCTTTCGGAAATTTCACGTACACACTTAGATTTTTTCGCCGAGATGGGCACCACCGAGCAGCTCGGCATTTTATTTTGCTGGATCTCAGTGAAAAATTTGCCGATATTCAGTTAATAAACGGGAGTTTTGCCGAGATAGCAGCTAACACACATATTTTTTGCTGAATTCCCAGCAAAATAAAATGCCGAGCTGCTCGGTGGTGACCATCTCGGCAAAAAAATCTTAGTGTGTAAATCTACACAATCATGGTGGTTGGTTACTTGAGCAAGTTTTTATTCACGACAAATTCGCGAAAAAGGACTTTGTTTACGTTTGCGACATTGGCACATATGAACGGAAATGTAGAGATTGATATGCACCCATATTCTCGTTAACGTTCGAACCGTGTATCTTCCATAGAGTTTTTTTTATGAAAAATACGGTTCGAACGATAACGAGAATATGGGGGATAGAGCTTGTGTTTCAATATGCCGAATAGGTGTGTTCGTCGTGAATGCAGTTCAATCAATTATAGAGCTTTTGACGTCCAGTTGTATTGGTGCGATATGTGAGAGCGTGTTAGTGAAATTTCGCATAGCAAATCGCTGTCACATTTTGACAGATCTAATTTCATACATTTTTTAAGTTAGTCAGTGGATTTTTTTTTTATCTTTTTAAAGAGATAGTCAGAGGAAATTAATACACAACCTAACACGGCGATACACTCGCTAGTATGCGTGTGTTAAACGTCACTAATCTCTCAGGTAAATTGGAACCATCAAACTAGCGACTACAAATCAAATTATTTGAAACCCGTTGGAGTGGCTTTCGGAACATTACCGCTACTTCTTGGTTTCTTCAAGTTGACGCGAGGGTCAATACGGGACGCTTTCTGAGGCTGTTGCGTGGAATTCCTGGATCACTTCCTAAGTAGGTGGACCTTTGAAAACGAACGATGTTGGGATATTCTTCAGTTCCTTCTTCGCTTCTTCGATCAGCTGCTTCTCGGATTTGGCCACAAAATTGTTGGAATAGATCCTGCGTTTGAGGTTGGTCCGGAAATTCTCGATTGGCCGCAGCTGAGGAACGTTCGGACGATTCGGGTTCTTCGGTATCTCTTCCAACGAGCTTTTCGCGTATTGGGCCGATGCCATGTCTGGCCAAAACACCACATCCTCTCTCGCATGGTGCGTCCGGATAAAGGCGGCCACTTCCGGCAGGCATTTGGTACTGTAAATCTCCCCACTTCGAGGAAAAGAACAGTGGCTTCGACATCGGATCGGACGCGTTGCGGCAAAGTGATAGCTAAATCTATTGCCTAACTGTCAAATTTACGTCAACGCAACGCAAGCAGATCTAATGTGGGTGCGGCCCTTTAGAATTTGTGACAGTATGTGTAATTGATGAATCTACTTTACGGTTCGCCAGCCGATGGAAATGATGTGAAAATGATAATGACGTTTTGCTAGCTGTCAAATCGTATATATATACATATATGGAATATTTTTTAGTACATCATCACTTTTGTGGTTTTGGATTTCAAACCTAGGTGTCGCATGCACTGGTGCAGTTTCGCGTAGATTCATCAATTATTGATGAATCTATGTTACGGTCGGCCAGCAGATGGAAATGATGTGAAAATGATAATGACGTTTTGCTATCTGTCAAATCGTATGGAATAATTTTAGTACATCATCACTTTTGTGGTTTTAGACTTCAAACCTAGGTGTCGCATGCACTGGTGCAGTTTCGCGTAGATTCATCAATTGATTATTGATGAATCTACGCGAAACTGCACCAGTGCATGCGACACCTAGGTTTGAAATCCAAAACCACAAAAGTGATGATGTACTAAAAAATATTCCATACGATTTGACAGCTAGCAAAACGTCATTATCATTTTCACATCATTTCCATCTGCTGGCGGACGGTAACGTAGATTCATCAATAGGTATGCGAAAAGCGTGACTTTGGTAAACAACCTAAAGGGGTGTTTACACTTATGCTATTTCATTATGCTGGAATACCTGTATAATGAGAGAGAGAAGGATTAATAATTTTCATTTAATTCCACTATCTTATTTGCTTATCCTTGACAGATACGCGTATTTCGTCTACAATGTGCAGCCTTCTTCTGAAGAAGTATGCACATTGGGCCGTATGAATAAAAAGAGTTTACTTTACTTTCCCGTGATTTTCTTACGGGAAAAGTAAAGTAAACGCTTTTATTCATACGACCTATTGTAGACGAAATACGCGTATCTGTCAAGGATAAGCAAATAAGGTAGTGGAATTAAATGGAAATTACTAATCCTTCTCTCTCTCTCATTATGCTAATGAGCTAGCTGCTAGCAAAAAATCTCAACTAGCATAATGTAAACAGGGCATCAGCGTCTACCAGCATGAGATTTCAGGAGCAACTGAAATACGTGCTAGTTGGCTAGTAAACACGTTTTAGCAAATCCGCACAGATGTTAACACCCCATAAATACGTAGCGTCAACCGTGCGTAGTGCCCGAATTCCGCAATTTCGTACAGCACACAACGGAGAAACGAAACCTCTTTGCTTATACCATGGTTGTTCATAAACTTTCTTTAATTATTAACATGGACAGCCGTGAGACAGTTGCGATCAGCTGACTTTTTTGTTTACCACGAACTTTTCACCACTGATTTTGTCACTTATTTCTTCAACATGGTCACTAAAATCGCTATTTTTGAACGCATTTATTGCTACCAGCCCTGACCAAACCAAAATCACATTTTTTTAGTATTTTGTAATATCTTCTGTAATTTCTGATATTTTTAACTTGTTGGAAACCCTAATAAACAAATACCATAAACGAACTGTATACCGGATGGGTAAACTATCCCACAAATGGTTTGGATGATACCCCGAACACGTCGTCAAGCTCTCTTTTATGGTTATTTTTATTAGGGAAGGTTCCCCTTTCATATGGCTCAATAGTTGGTCATTTCACATGCTATAGTTTTTCCCTAAAAGCTTATGAAAATATGTAACAAGTTGACAAATCAACAACGTCGATCGGATTCATATCGATTTTGTTCATTTGTCAAATTGTAACTCCCATTCCAACACAGGTTACCCATTTTTGGGTAGGTTCAGTTTTGACCGATCTGGGTGGATTCTACCCAAATTTGCGTTGTTTTCAAATATCGTGTATACAACTTACGACTGGCAACACTGCCATACGGTTGACGAATAACGTTCCTTCAGGACAATTGGCGTTGACGGCACCGTCGAAAAATTTGCTCTTCCAGCAAATTTAGACAGTTTCTTATGGGAATTTTCGGTGGAGTGAAAGGATAGTACAAAGTCCGCCATGTTTCACGCACAGTCTGACGTTTGCTTATGGATTTTCTCATAGGAGTAAAGAGCTACAGAGTCGCCGTCAACGCCAATAGAAAAGGGCCCATCAGCATTTGTAAACAAACCGTTCCAAGGCCTTTACTCACAGCGAAGGCCACCCACGCAGACCAACACCATCATCGGATAGGGGAAACTTCCACCTACACGATTATGCTGATGGTTTGTGTGGGCAGCCTTCGGTTTGTGAGGAATTGGCTTTGCAACAATTTATTTACAAATGCTGATGGGCCCTTTTCTATTGTTGATGCATATTTTTGTTCTACAACCGGTACCGGTTCGGCCACATACACAGGCAGTGATGCCACATGCACAGATGTATCAATATTTTGATACTTAATAATATTGCTGATTGCATCTGAAACTGGACTGTCCCAAAAATGCAAAAAGTGTGATAAAAGTGGACGTTTCTGTCAAATCGTTTTGATATCTTCGGAGCACTTATTGCTTGCATCATAAGAAATAAGTGCACCTAAGACACCAAGACGATTAGACGTAAACTTGCAGTTTTATCACACTTTTTAATAAGTGAAAACGCGCTTATTAGTCTAATTTGGTGTGAAACGCGCAATATTATCTGTAAATTCAGATCACAAATTTTTTTAAAAGTAAATAGATTTTACAGATTTTTCAAATAATCGGAAATTATTTTTAACTCTTGATTGTATTTATTAATTCCAATAAATAATCGATTTGAGCAACTATGAGCACCAAACCCAAATCGCACTTTTCATTAAATAAAATATTATTTTATTATCTTCGATAATTTTCAACGGACTTCTGATGTTAAGATTTTGACGTAGAACTACGTCTGTTATTTCTATATGGGGGTACACTTTGTGAAAACCAAAAATGGAACATGTAACAAAATTATGAAAGATTTTGAACCTTAATAACTCAGCTGCCCCGACCAATTTCAATAGGCTGTTTCTATGCACCACCAATGTAGAGTACGCTAGGCGATTATGAGAGGAAACGTCAACGAAACCGTTTGTTTAGATCCAAATTAATTTTTTTACATCTCAAATTAACGCATATTGTTATGCGTATCTTGCATATTTCCATCGGAAGGGGCCTTGTTTTATTATTTTTCACATATTTGAACGGATTTACAGGTCAAATAACACCACATTAAATATCCGGAAGATCATAACCGCTGGGGTAGTTTTATAAATCTTCACTTTTCTTAACAAAAATATGTGAAAGCACAGGCCGGTTCACTCCAAAATCGATTCAGAAAACAAAATATTCCATGTGGATGATGATTACAAGCACTTGCGATAGATAAATTAATCAGAAAAGGTAAAAAAACCTTTGCCTCTTCCTATGCTTCACGGCGAAAATTTCAGCCCTCATCACTCTTTTGATGGTTCTCTTATTCACCACCAGAGGCTGAAACGATCGCTTAATTTCCATTGGATTCGCCTATAATTTTATCACCAATCGATCAGAAATATTTCTACGCATCTGCAAAATTTAAAACATTATTATTTTTCAAAATGTCACTATTGAAAATTGCTATGATGGTGTTGCTATGATGGTGAACTGTTGCTATGATGGTGAAAATTAACACCGATTGCCAGTAAAAAGCGATTTCCCTAACACAGATTTCAAAGTAGAATTCCATCCGGTCTCACCAAACGGTGTTTATTATTGGTGGTGGTGAGTGGTGGTGTTCTCCAATACACAACGAAAGGCTCCCCGCAAGCAGCTAGCTATCAAGACTGGCCTCAATCGCCGATCGGATTCCGTTCCAATCACCGTGTGTGATGGTGTCCGGTCATCTGCATCAGCAGCAGCAGCAGCAGTGCTTTCGGCACGTGGCATTGAACATTGTTCTCCAGTACAGAACGAAAGGCTTCCTGCAAGCAGCAAGCTGCAGCCCACTTGAGCTCCATAGAAGGAGGAAGAAGCCTCAGTAGCTCTTCGTGCTCAAATTCCTATTCCTACACAAAACACAAGCTCCTGCTGCAGTTAACAAATAAGATTTATTATAAAAGACCACGTTGTCCTACGTCACCATTGCGTACAACCCCATAGGGGTGTCCCTTGTAGTTTTCTAATTTCTGATTTCTCGTTAGAAGGGATGCTATAGTTTTTCTTTCTTATTGTTTAATGAACCAACATGGTGACAGGCGAGGTGACAGGTACCATGGTTAGTACAATTATTGGATTTACCGAATCGGTAAACATGCAGTTACTGATTGATTATAGTTTGTAGCTCAAAGAGTCAACTTGATATTTGGTCATTTGAATAGCGTTTGAATCTCAAGGTGTTTTACAGGTATTTACTTACAAAAAATACTGAGTACTCCTTGTTGAGCAACAACAAGCGAATTCAATATCCTTTCAACCTGCCAAATGTTAAAAAAAAGTTGAAATTTGGTTTAATTAGAAGAATTTGAGAAAATGTCGATCATTAAAATGCATTATTATTAACTTCAATTACAGAGTTGAAAATAATAACAAATTATCAGATAAAGATTTCCGTAATCTTGGACATATGAAAATCAAATTCTTGCGAAATGTGATTGTTACTTCATCCGAGACTTCTTCATCAAAGAAATTTTCAGCCCGAAGCAGGTTAGTCTCTCACTACTGGAACTAGTTTTTGTTTTGTATTTTCAGGCTTATAGAAAACGTACAAATTTCTAAAAAATATCAGTATTCTAGGATTTCAAGTTAAATTCTTTAGAAAGCTAACTTAATTAATTTTACAAGATTCTCAACTAAAAAAAACTCTTTCTGAACTTTGAATGAACTCAAAGGGGTAAACACTAAGATTATAATAAAGAAATTATACAGATTTTTATCAGCCCAGATACAGATTATAAAGATTTTTTACAGTGAATATACAGATTGATATTGGACAAAAAAAAATACTGGCAACACTTACCACAGGCCACAGCGAGCGAATCAAGCGACGTCGCCCACACACACATTCATTGCGCGACGAGCGCTCCAACCGAGTGGACGTGTAGGTGCGTGCGTGATCAGTACGGTGTTTTTCGTCGGAAACCCCGGTGCTTTGCTTATACCTGCTGATGGTGCTGCTGCGGGAAGAGAAAAAGAAACAGCGAAAAATATCGCGCGTACGCCGCGGTCGCGGACCGACCCAGCAGCCAAAGTCGATATACGTAAATTTTGAGAGAGAAACCAAAACCAAAAGTGAGGAAGGTGTGAGAGTCGAGAAGAACCGAAAAAGTGTGTGCTGCAGAGCGCAGATTGTGGACTTCGAGGACGTGGCGACGCAGAGCGGGTAAAGTTGTGGGAGGAAAGCGGTGACGGACGGACGAAACGAAACAGCAGCAGCGCTTAGCTTTACCAGCCTGGCAGAAGCGACGTTTGAAGTAGTGAGAGAACGTCAGCCGAACTGTCAGGTCGTGTGTGTATTTTCGCTGCTGCCAGTGGAAGAAGCTCATCGGAAAGAAAAAAAAAACGAGAGAAAAAAGTCCGTGAAAAGGAGTGGAAAATTGATAGGCCGTTTTTAAAGTTCTCGATTCCAGTTTTATTTTTCGGTGTTTCCGTGAAGTGCGGGGCTCCTGGCAGAACCTGCTGGGCTGGGTGGCGGAGCCACTCTTGCAAATAATATTGGGTGTAATGTGTTGTGCTAAATCGCAGTAAAGTTCCGAAGGAAAAGAAAAAATCAGTGGTTGAAAATTTTGCGTTCGATCGGCGGTCGGTGCTGCTGCGGTGGGATTCCGGGGCCCCAAGCGGCCATTCGTTTCGTGTGTGCGCGGTGGAGGTGCCGTACATTGAAAATAGACCACCGGAATATCTAACAACAATGTCTGATAAAGTGTCGATATCGCCATCCAAAAGTCGGAGGCAATTAGTAAGTGATGGTTTATTCTTCTTTTTTCACATTTTTCCTCCTTCCTCCCGTTTCCCGTTGTTTCTGATACCCTCCGATTCCACGTTTTGAAGAGGGAAGAAAAAAAAAAGAGACCGATTCCAGTTCCTGCCCGATGCGGCTGTGTGTTGCGTAGCATACACATAGAAATTGAGGTATGGCACTTGCGGGGTGTTGTTTGAGCCAAGATGGAACAACCGATTATCAAGTGCATGCTGATTAAGCCCCGAGAAGGCGACCGTAGACGCCATAGTGGAAAAATTCTTTGAACGAAAAAAATGCCTCGAAAATGGAACACCTTGATGGGAGCACTGAGCACATTGAAAGAATCACGCGAAATGGTGGATGATCCGGAAGATTGTCCTTCACGGAATCCTGCAAAGCGTTCCTAGGACCGATGTGTTTCGGTTGAATGTTTCGACCTTCCCGGGAGTCGCCAAGAAAGTCAACACGACGAGACCCAACAGAGGCAGAAAAAACGACGTCGATCCGCCATCACATGCATTGCGGCATTTTCGAGAGAATGATTTCATTCATTTTTCATCATGCTTCGACTACGAACGAGTGCGGCGAGCCTAGTAGCAGCAGCAGCACAGCGGCAGCGAATGAGCGAAGCTGCCCAAGAGCAAGCAGAAGCAGGCTGAGTTGTGGTGTGGTGCTGGTGGCTGGCTGACAGGGCAGAGGCAGTAGAGGTGGGAAGCAAAGCGCAGGCAAACACGAAAGAAAGCCAGCAGCAGAAAAACGCCAAGCCCTGCGCTCGTACGAAAAATGGGCAGAGGCATACGAGATACGACGACGATGACGAGCTTGGTCAGCACCCAGCAAGAGAGCAACACAACATCCGAAAATCCACGTCCGATGGTAAGCTTGTACGTCGGAACACTGAAAATTCTGCTGGCTGCCTTGCTGTACTCTGGCTCTACAACAACGAATGAGCGAGCATACGATCGAAACTGGCAAATGCCGAAGGTTACCGAAGTGTGCTCCCACACGCAGAGATGCCAGGCTTATTTTGAAAAAATCTGGCAAAGCCCGAAAGAAATGTCTGGCAAAAATCTGGCTCAGCAAATTAACATAGGAAGCTGCCAGATTTCTCAAAAAATCTGTCTGGCAGAGCTTAAACTTCTCTAATAAATCTGGCAACGCTGCCCACACGGCTACTACTCTACAGCCAGGGTTGCCACATCTAAATCTGTATTTTTTCTGAAAAAAATCTGTAAATCTGTATCTTGATGCATAAACTCTGTATCAATCGTTGAGTTCATGAAAAAGGCTTTCGTCAAATAATTGTTATTGGGAATTTTACTTTACTTTGCACACATTCCCAATTCATCAAAAAATTGCATAGATGCTAATAACTGCATAATGTTACAGTCGTTGAATCAACTAATTGATACCAGATGCAATAATTTCCTTAATTGGCAATCATTTTAAAACACTGAGCTTTTCACAACTGAAAACTATTTGTAACTGAATTATTCTAGGTGAAAAAAAACATTTTAAATTAAATCTACCTCTTATTTATACATTAAATATTACTTCTTATACCAAAAACTATTGCATTTATTACACTTTCTGGCATTTCGATATCATCAAATTTATTACAATATTTTTGTTTAAGCTACTTAGTTAATTTTAAGAACATAAAGTATATACCCTAGTGATGCTTTAAGTTACTGGATGAACATGAGAATAATCCATAAATAGGTCATGTATTTTGTGCACATGGAATACAATTTATGCTCAATGACAAAAAATAATGACATTTTTTTGGAGTTCAGTAAATTTTAGATAAAAATCTCTATATCTGTATATACAGATTCTTGGTCCTGAAATGATCCAGATAATCTGTATATGTGGCAACCCTGTATACAGTTACAGTAGCCTTCTGCTGTAGTAAAATGTAAAAGTTCGGCTCTCAGCAGTGTTTCCATCTCTGCTGTGACAAGATTGTCGCCTGGACAAACATAGCCAGGATGATTCGACCTGCCACGTTCAGGATTCCCTGCCGCTAAGAAAGTATTTTTTGTGCAGAGTATGTAAAAAAGGAGGGACTTCGAATGTTAATCTAAATGCTTATAGGTATAGAGGTACCAGATATGTTTTACACTGCACCGTCCTCTGTGAATAATTACCGGAAACAGATTATTAAACCTAGGCCCAGGCAGATAAATGTCTGACGCGCGGGGGAGGGGCTGTTATAATCGGGTTATTACTATATAACGCTCTGACTTTTTTCTCACAGATGGCCAGTCAAGCAGTTTTTTCCAGTATTTGAAAAACCACATCAGACCACTGATCAAGGTGTACGAATCAAGAAGGGAAGTTTGAAGATCAAACCACATAAGTCTACGTATCAAAATCAGAATTTTCAAGTCCAATGTGAAACCTGTGCTGGCTCTCAAAAGCTGCAAACCGTTGCCTGCGGTATATAATTCGTGCCTGGTGGCCTCACAACTGAATGTTTAATGCTGAGCTCCGTCGTTGATGTCATCAAAAGCCGATATCAACAGTAATTCGTGAACGTTTAAGTGGAGGTGAGTCGACCACTCACTATGCATGGGCGAAAATAAAATCTGCAAACAAGCGCTGAATTTAAATCCGACAGGACATCATCACAGCTGAGACAGACCCAGCTGATCATGGCGGTGGAGCCTCATAATTGGACCTGAGCCCAGGCAAGCAAGCAGCCCAGGATGGAAGTCTTTCACTTTGGCCAGCATACTTCAGGTGAAAGTGTCCAAGTTTGAAATGTTTATTTACCTTAAGTAAGTTCATGTTAACCATTTCGTGAAACAGCTGCAGATCGAATCAGGCCAAAGCATCAATGATAGCAATGAAGAAGCCACCTGCAGACTGGCAACCCGGAACATCACGACAACGAGTGCGTCAGCTCAATAAAACGCAAAGTCCTAAACTGTTCTCTGCTACCCTGCTGAATCTGATTCACTCCTAGTGGAGTACGTCGCACAGGTCGGATGTGTATATTTTTGGTCCGCTCGTTGGCTGCGAAACATCGAATTATTTCATTGGTACCGTAAGCAGGTTCCATTCGTATGGCTATGACACATGAAGTGCGGAGCTTTAGAGCATGCGATAAATAAAAATAATGTTCGGTTTCGTCATTCCTGTTCCTCCTAAGAAGTCTCAACTCTGAGAATCGTTGGAACAGAGGCGAGAGTGAGAAGGAGAGTGAATCGCGCCGAAAATGTACCACCAATAAACAGAATGAAAAACAGATACCTATACCTTCCTCGGTTTATAATCTCTCTTCGTGTATACTCAAAGGGGGATCCACTACCTATCTACCGGTGGAAGCTGGATGAAGGGGAGCAGTGGAGACTGGTTCGCAGGTAGAGTAATACCTACATGCTTGGGATTTGGATGGAATCTACTACACATGCAAAGGTTGATTCGACGTTGAAAACGAATTACGAAGTCAAGCTGAGCGGAGAATGGGATATGGTTAAGGCGATGACGATGTGAGAAGAATGCCGATTTACGTTCAGTGAATTTTGGATACGCGAAAAGGAAAACAACAACACGCTAACCGCTCATCGAGACGTTCTCGGCCTCAAAACTCTAGCAATCAAATGGTCGGGAAAAGCGATGTCCAGATTTGCTTTTGCCCCGAGAGTTCGCTGACTATTGGCTGGCAATTATTGCTGACTCGTACCGAACCGAGTCGACTTTGAGGAAAGTGAAATGTAAACAGCGATTACGTGTTCGGTGAACATGTGCAGTAAGCTGCAACGACGGCCCCGGGGACGGGGAGCGACGCCAGAGAATATGTATACCGACAGTGCAACACGAGAAGACGCTTCTGCAGCGGGCCGGGGTCGGTGGAAGCTTTTCTGTCTAGATAGATGCTAACTTCGCTATCACAATAATAACAACAACAACAAAAGTAACAACCACGCGCTTCACAGTTGTTCCCATTGCGGCGTGGAAGTTTTGATGAGTTTGCTAGACATTTGATTGGAGGTCATGTCATGTGTGCTAAGTGTGAAACTCACAAGACCGTGATCACGTGCGGATGGAATTGCCGTTGTCGAATATTGACCTACCTCTACTTATTGAATTGTGGCTTTCTTAATAGTTAAGTGGTTCAAACGAACAGACTACATTGTAAGTGACGACGACACACTGTTTTTCAAATAAGGCCATGAGCCTGAGAATAAAAATACATATGTTTACCTTGCTGATCTCAATTCATTAGTACACTGCAAAAATAACAAATGATGAATATGAGGTCAACCATCTTTTCTTGCCAGAGTAATGAAAGAACATCACGAGAGTGAAATTTTGTTATGGCAGAGCAGCACGCAGAACGGTAAAGATGCTTTGAAATTTTGAAAATCTTCTATGGTTTCCTGTACGTTGAGTCCCAGAAATTGGAACAATCTGAACGATTTTCTTGCTGCTACATCAAAATGCTCATGAGAACCGCCATCGATGATCTGAAGACTTTTTTTTTTATTACTGCGATTCACCGAATTATAAAACCATCTCATCCGTATGTTCAACCCATTCATGGAACAGGTAATCAATTTTATCTAATCGTTTGTATGTAGACTTTTGATTGTTTTACTAAACCGTTACATTTTGTAACAGATAACAAAACATCATCTTCACCTTCAAAAGCCCCAACGTGTTTGCCTTCGCGAAAGAACCACCAAGGCGAAACGCTAAATTAACATTTTCTTTAATTTCAGATGTTACAATTCGCCTAAACATAGCCTATAGATAGGCACCAACAAGACGAATCGCTTAAATTTCTGATATTATTGCAAGGAAAAAATGAGAGGGACATCGTTCTCTTATTTACGTTCGCCCGCTTAAGGGGGGATCCCATGGGCAGCGATCTGTTCAGAATTTGCTGAAACTATCCAAATTTGGATAGAATCCACCCTGATCGGTCAAAACTGAGCCTATTAAAATATGGGCATGTCACCGTAATTACCTGATAATTTGCGGGACTA